TGCATCTTATATGCCGGAGCATCTTATATGCCGAAAAATACGGTAATAGAAAATGCAATTGTTTATACAAGGCAGAGTACTTGATTTTCATTTATCCACCCATCTACAACAGTGTAGGGTAGGGTGCAAAAGAATATAGTAGGTAGAACTGCTCACCGTGTATAACCTGAAGCACATCTGATCTAAAGCTACCATTGGATACAATCTAGATAATTCTTGTTTTACACAGGTAATCTTACAGTAATTCTTGCAGAAACCATGCAAGTTAATTTTAGGTACTATCTTAAGGTCACTTAAAGTCACATTCATTAATCTTTTGGAACCTGTACAAAAAGTCTGTTTACTTCTCAAACAACTCATCTATTTCCTCATAACCTTTTTTAAAAAAGTATTCCAATATTGATGAGACATACTCTTTTCCAAATACAGTGGGCCCTTGGCATATGTGGGGGATCCATTCCGGACCCAACCCCCCAGTATGAAAAAACACGCATAAGCTGAAGTCCCATAAAATTAATAGTGGCACATTTCTGCATGTGGTGCTGCATGCACGCCTGCAGCTCACACGTCGTTTTGTTGTCTTGCGCTTGCCATATGCATACACTCAAAGCTGCATATAGCAAGCCTGCATATGGCATGAGCACATGATTGCATTGCAAACAAGAATTGGTAATTTTTGATGTTTTCCATTTTCAGAAACTACTCCTTTTTTCTCTTCTCTTTTTCTCTTTCTTTCTCTTTCTCTCTCTCTCTTTTCTTTTGCTTTCTTTATTAATATCCTCCTTACAAAAAAGGATTACAAAAATGATATTGACATAGGAGAGGAGGATATTGTGTGGTAAGTTTAGACTGGTGTTATATCACCTAACATGAAACACAATGATGTTGTCTTTGGCCAAGGCACTGATATTGCTAGTGGTACAGGAATTTCAGGTTTTGCTAGCAAACCACATTCCATTTTTAAATTGTTTGCAGAACTTAGCTTTTCTATATTGCAAACTAGAGAAAAGAGATGGACATGTTGATCTTGTCTTAGGAAAGAAATTATTACACTTTTTAAAAACAAAAGTACAACTTTTAAGGGCTTACAGATTTTCCATTCTTAATCTAAGTGTTTGCCCATTATTATATTTATGTGCAGAATAAGAATTTTAATGTATCTTGTTATACTGTAAAATGGAACTAGGCACATTATGTTTGTTTAACCCAGAAAAAGAATCAGGGCACTTTATTCTGATATAGATAAACTGAATGGAGTCTACTTTATATTCTCCAGATAGCAGCTTTGGTGTCTCAACAAAACTAGATAATCCTATGTTGTCAATGCTTAACTAGTTTTATTAGTTTAATTGAGGCAGCCTAACTAGCTTCTACAGCCATGTTGGAAATTATGCAGCTCTCCAAATATTGTTGGGCTTCAGCTCCCTGCATTCCTCACCTTGGCTCTACTGGCTTTAGAGGTCCTGGGATTTACCATTCAAAAACCAGCTAGAAGGCCTCATGATTCCCACTCTGCTCTAGAGAGACTCATCTATGCATGGAGGTTCAACACATCATTGGGCAAACTAGAAATTAAGAGTTCAGAATCACATGGAGGTTCTTGCTTTTTATTTGACAGGGAGGATTGGGAGCAGGAGGGGGTAGGCCATACCTTCCTCTCCACATATTTACTTCAGCTAGTGAGAATGCCTGAATAGGGCATTATGTCAATGGAAGCTGAGTCTTGTCAGCTGGAGAGCAAAGATGATTAAACATGGAAGGAGAGGAAGGGGTAGATTCAACCCAAAACATTTATTTTGAGGACTGTAGGTTTGCTTCCTCCATTTCCACTCCTATTGCCAGAGCCAGCCCTGCTATTAGGCAAAACAGGTACCGTATATACTCGACTATCAGTTAACCTCATGTATAAATCAAGGGAAGCTTCTGGGGCCAAAAGTAAGGATTTTCATATGACCCATGGATTGATTAAGGCTAAAACATCTCAGCACCCTTCCTCCCCCTACATAGCTCAGCTGTCCCCTTTGGAGACAGTCAGTCTAGGGAGGAAGCTGGGGAGAAATCTGAGAAGCCACCCTTCTTCCCCCTCCATAGCCCAGCTGTTCCCTCCAGAGATAACCAGGCTGCGGATGAGGCTTCTCACCACCTGGGCTGTCCTCAGGGTAGGGACCAGGCTTGGGGGCAAGCCCTGGCCCTCCATTCTCCCCACTGGGCTGTCCTCAGAGAGGCAGCCAGGGTGGGTAGGAGGCTTGGGGAGCCAACACTGGCCCTTCATCCTCCTCCCCACCTGGGCTGACCTCTGTGGGGCAGCTAGGGTGGGGACAAGGCTTGGGAGAAAAGCACTTGCCTTCCATTGTCCACCCCACCCAGTCTGTCCTCCAAGGGACAGCCGGGGGTGGGGGCGAAGCTTGCAGGGCAATCACTTACCTTTCCTCCTCCTCCGCAACCTGGGTCTCCCTTCAGGAGACATCCAAGCTGGGGAAATTACTGTATTGACCCATGTATAAGTACCGAGGTTTTGGGGGATCAATTTTTTGGCAAAATTTTGCAACTTATACATGAGTATATATGGTCGTTTGTTTGGGGTGGCATGAAAGAACACTGAATTATTAATCTGATGTTATTTCATTTTTACAACTTGTAAGGGGGGGATATGTTTGGGAGATTTAGAGTTTCCTGTGTTCAAATGACTTGCCTGGCTTCAGATACTGTGTATGTGCATGTTGTGTGCCTTCAAGTCATTTCCAACTTGTGGCGATCCTAAGGCAAACATACCATGGGGTTTTCTTGGCAAGATTTATTCAGAGGAGGTTTGCCACTGCCTTCCCCTGAGGGCATGCACATGTGGTTTGCCCAGTGTCACCCAATGGGTTTCATGACCAATCTGGGAATTGAACCCTGGTCTCTAGAGTCATAATCCAACACTAAAACTACTAAGTCATGCTGACTCTTGGCTGCAGATACTAGGCATTTTAATTTGCCTACAACCGTAAAGGGCAGAGGGGGGTACGGTAAGGGGAGTCAGTTCTATCACTCTGGTAGAAGAGAGACACACAGCGTACTGCTTACTTCCAAGCTGACCCCCCCCCCACCACCAATTCAAATAGCCTGGATAGCCTTGGCAGCAGGTCCCCTGGGCTGAAAATGCTGCCGCTTAATGCCAGGTCAGTAAATGGTAAAACACCACTGATCCAGGACTTGATCCTGGATGAGCATGCCAACCTAACTTGTATTATGGAGATCTGGCTGGATGAAGCTGGGGGGGGGGGGACTAATCTCTTCCATCTTTGTCCACCTGGACAGCAGCAGGCAAGGCTGGGGTGGGGGGTGGGGAGGCTGAGTTGCATTCCTTACCAGATGCCCTGTCCCACAGTCTACTGGGTATGAGTGTATCTACTTAAAGGTGGGTGGCCATGACAGAATAGGGATTCTTTTGGTGTACCAGCCACCCTGCTGCACAACAGTCTCCCTTCCTGAGCTGATGGAGTTGGTCTCTGCAGTGGTGTTGGACTTCCCCTGGCTTATTGTGCTGGGGAACTTCAACATCCATGCAGAGACTACACTGTCAGAAGCCGCTCAAGACTTCATGTCTGCCATGAAAACCATAGGGCTGTTCCAAGTAATATCTGCAGCCATCCATGTAGCAGGACACACTGTTGACCTGGTTTTCTGTTTGGGGCAGGATGATCATGATCTGGGAGTGGAAGAACTCTCTAGTTCCATTGTCATGGACTGATCGCTACATGGTAGGATTTAAACTCACTGGGATTCAGACCCTCTACAGGGGTGGTGGGGGGGCGATTAAGACGGTCCACCCCAGGAGGTTTATGGATCTGGGTGGATTCCTGATGGCTCTTGGGGAGCTTCTGGCTGCCTTGGCATGTGATCTTGTCGAAACCCTGGCTGATCTCTGGAATAGGAATATGGCCACTGGGAGAGGTCATCCAGAGTTTGGGGTATGGTGTCATCAGTGTACAGATGACACCCAACTCTATATCTCCTTTTCATCTGACTCTGTGCTGAACCAGTTCTGCTGTAAGTAATGGATTGGATAATTGCAAACAAATTGAAGCTTAATCCAGACAAGACAGAGGTGCTCCTGATCAGTCATAAAGCAGATCAGGGAATATCAGGGCTCTGCCTGTGCTGGATGTGGTTACACTCCCCCTGAAATCTCAGGCGCACACTTTGGGTGTGCTCCTGTACTCTACTCAGAGCCTGGATGCCCAGGTTTCAGCAGTGGCTAGGAGTGCATTTGCACAGTTAAAACTAGTGTGCCAGCTGTGCCCATTCCTTGAGATGTCAGATCTGGCTACAATGACACATGCCTTGATTACATCCCATTTGGACTACTGTGATGCACTCTGTGTGGAGCTGCCTTTGAAAACTGTTCAGAAACTTCAGCGGGTTCAAAAGTCATTATAGGGAGCATACAACTCCCATATTGAAACAGCTTCACTGGTTACCAGTTCATTTCCAAGCACAATTCAAAGTGCTGGTCATGACCTATAAAGCCCTACACGACTTGGGTCCAGATTATTTGAAAAACTGCATCTCCCATACGATCCAGCTAAAGCCCTAAGATCCTCAGGAGAAGGCTTTCTCTCAGTCCTGCCACCCTCACATGCTCACTTGGTGAGCACATGAGAGAGAGCCTTCTTGATGGCTGTGTCCCATCCTCTGGAACTCCCACGGGAAGCTAAGCTGGCCCCCTCCCTGCTGGACTTTCACCAGAAAGCAAAAACATGTTTATTCAAGCAAACTTTTTAAAATCATGCAAGCCTGATTTCATTTGCTTTAGATTATGTTTTTAACTTTTGTATGTTTTAAATTTTAACCTTCTA